CTTTTCTTTTCTTTTCTTTTCTTTTCTTTTCTTTTCTTTTCTTTTCTCTTTTCTTTCTTTCTTTCTTTCTTTCTTTTTCTCTCCTTCCTTCCTTCCTTCCTTCCTTCCTTCCTTCCTTCCTTCCTTCCTTCCTTCCTTCCTTCCTTCCTTCCTTCCTTTTCTTTCTTTTTTTGACAGGATCTTATATAGCTCAGGCTGGCCCCAAAATTGCTAGGTAGCCCCAGCTGGCCTTGAACTTTTGATTTTCCTTCTTCCACTGCCCAAATGCTGGAATTGTGCCACTGCAACTGCGTTTATATCCTCGAGTGTGTGCGCTCATGTGCTCGTGTGTGCGTGTGTACCTGTGTGAATGTGTGGCATATATGTGCATGTGTGTGTGTGCTCCTATGTGAGGTCAGAAGCTGGCATCTGGTGTCTTCTCCGGTCAGTTCTCCAACCTCCTTTTTAAGCCAGGTCTCTCACCAGAAGCTCCAGGGATCCTATTTCTGTCTCCTATGCTCCCCTCACCCTGCATGCAGAGAATATAGGCATACATGGCGACACCAGGCTTTTGTGTGGGTTGTGAGGATCCCAGCTTGGGTCCTTATTTCTGCAAGGCAGGAACTCTGACACCCCAGCTACCTTCCTAGGCCCGCACAGCTTTCTGTACTGTTGCAAACGTTTATAGTTACTCTGTGAATTACTCTGTGAGCCACGTCCACGTTTCAGTGTGTCATGTCTTTCGTATGCCACCTAGTATTTTCTTGAGTTTTCCTTTTGGTTATTTACAAGCGTTTTGTTTAATAACCACATACTTGTGAGTTTTCCAAATACCTTTTTATGATTTCTGAATTTATTCCACTGTGGTCAGAGAACACACTTTGTGTTGTTCCAGTCCCTCTAAATGTATTGCGGCTGCTGTGGAGCTCAGCATGTGGCTGGCCTGGAGACTGTCCTGGGAGAAGCTTGGCTGGGGTGCTCCGGGCTGTCTGCTGGCTTGCCGTGCTGTTTACGTCTCCTGTTGCTTTGTTGATGTCCTGCCCAGTTCTCTATCTATTAAATGCAGATACTAGTGTCTCCAACTACTGTTACTGAATTACTCCTTTGTCTTCAATTGTCTATTTTTCTTCATGTGTTTTGATGTTATCTTAGTAGGCATGCCCTATCTTTCTAATGGCTATCTTTCTGATGAATTGATCCTTTTACCATTATATATTTTTTTAATCCTTGGTAATATTCATTTTTGTTTTAAGGCCTATAGTAGCTCAGTGGTAGAGTACCTGGCTAGCACTTGCAAGCACATCTTGGGTTGAATCCCTAGCACCACAAGAAAATAAAACCAAAACAAACCTACAAAGTATTTTTTTTTTTCCTCATAGTGGTATCCTGGCTTTTTGGTGATTGCTTTTAATCTATTCAAGTATTTGAATCTGAAGTGAGTCTCCTGGAGATAGCATGTGATTGATTGGCTCTTGAGTTTTCTGCCCAATCTGGAATCCCTGCGTTTTGATTGTATTCTTTAACTTCACCTTTGTGTTATTGGTGTAGTTTGACTTATTTCTATCGTGAGTTTCTATTTTATACATTACTTGTCTTTTTATTCCTCTACTTCATTCTTATTTCTTTCCTTTCTATTAATTTTCTAATGTAACATTTTAATTTTTAAAATGATTTAATGCTATTTTGTAGTGATCTACTTGTTGGATGTGGCTGGCATATGCATTTTTTATAAAGATTTCATTTATTTATTTTATGTATATGAGTGCTCTATCTGCATGTACACCTGCATGCCAAAAAAGGGCATCAGACCCCAGTGTAGATAGTTGTGAGCCACCATGTGGTTGCTGGGAATTGAACTCAGGACCTTTGGAAGGGCAGATGATGTTCTTAACCTCTGAGCTATCTCTTTAGCCCCTTGCATATGCATCTTAATTCTCCATGTCACACAGAAATGTCACTCCTGAACAGTTCTGTGAGCTGCTGGTTTGGGCCTTCAAGTGTTTACTGTGCTGGGTCTGTTTCTGTGTTCATCCTGCACAGAGTCTATTGAGCTGCTTGGATGTGTTGTGGTGGTGCAGGTCTTTAATCCCAGCACTCAGGAGGCAGAGGCAGGCAGATCTCTGTGAGTTCCAGGCTAGTTTGGTCTACAGAGTGAGTTCTTGGACAACCAATGCTACACAGAGAAACCTTGTCTGCAAAAC